GAGACAGAAGAGGACAGAGGCTGTGGACAGAAGACAAGAGGACAGAGACTGAGGACAGGAGACAGAAGAACATAGAACAACCAACATTTTATTAAACATTATGAATATAAAACCAAGCACGGGTCCAAATCCCAGCCCGTCAAAGCAACAAGTTGAAAACATTCTGAAGAGATGGATCTGCTGGGAGGGGTGATGACTGAGTGAGTGCAGCTGGGGTTGATGAAGGACAGGTGTGGGACACCTGGGGAGCTGAGGGAAACAACAGACATGAGTCCATGACACGGAGCAAACTGAAACAACTGAATCAAGAAAAAAATAATAATCTAAATGAAGGAGGGAAGTTTGATTCTTCCACAACAAACACCAAAGTCATGACAAGATGATTTTGATCAAATCAGGTTGAATTAACCAAAAGTTAACTGTGTAACTTCACAATGTTATTTTTGATCTGCTGGAGGTTTCTTCCTGTTAAAGGGAGTTGTTCCTTTCCACTGTCGCCAGTGTTCTGCTCAGGGTGGAAGATGTAGTTGAAGTGAAGATTCAACACATCTGCTGCCTCCTTAGATAAACAACGTTTAACTCTAAAAAAAAAAAGTCTCCAGGGTTCAATATTCATCAAAGAATAGATTTTTATTAGTAATTTCTTTATTGGCTCGCCGCTCCACGTGTAAAAGCTTTTTGTGCACCGTGTCATTTTTCCTGACACGTCAGATCACATAAGATCCAATGGGATCACACTCAGTCCGCCCTCTGATCCTCATTGACAGGCTGTGCTCCTGGAAGGAGGCGGAGCCTAGGCCCAATATAGTTGGAAGGCAACGGGTCAGTCGCCCTTTCTGGTCCAAGATCTCGCGTCGAGCTGTATCAGAGGTCAGCGCTGTAGAAACTGAACCTTCTCCTGCCCCGATTTAATACAAGAGAATTCACATTTCCTTGATTTATTGAGATCCTGTGAGTTATTAGTTCTGAGGGAGTCCGAGCCGGGAGCCACGTGAGCTGGAGGTGGGCCTGGGGTCTGAGATGAGGCCTGAGGTCCACAGCTGCTGCAGCTCACGCTGCAAAACATTTGGCATTTTGTAACGAATGTGAACTTTTCTGTGAAGTGCCCTGACATGACTTTTGCTGTGGAATGATGCTTTTTAAATCAATTTAATTCACACATTTTCAACATCGTTTCTTGGCTGAATGTCTCCTTTTCTCGTTCTTCTGCTACGATTCATGTCTTTCATCCATGTGTTCATTTTCCTCTGTACAACTTATCAGCTCAGAATCATTGCTTTGTATGAAATGAAGCCTTTGAAGTTTCTCCCTTAAACTACAGCCTCACAAGTCACGTTGAACCTTCTTGTTTCAGCTGCGTACATCAAAGTTTACCTCCTGGAGAACGGGGCCTGTGTGTCCAAGAAGAAGACCAAGTCGGTTCGGAAGTCTCTGGATCCTCTTTATAACCAGGTCCTGGTCTTCTCTGAAAGCCCGCAGGGGAAAGTGGTTCAGGTGAGACAACACTGTGGCGTAAAACCTAAAAAGTGGGTTTAAGTCACGACATTTTGCAGTAAAGCTCACTGTGCACAATCCTGCTCACTCACTCAGAACATGGTCAAGTTTGGAAAACCCGTCAGTGTGAAGGTCATGATGTTGCGACACTCTTAGTTCTCGCCCGATAGAGTTCTCCTTGTTACTTTCCATGTCTCTGGGATGTCTTCATCATGTCCTCTCTGATGCGCTTGTGTGCTGAAAGATTGTGGCGTGCTCGCAGGACCTACATTCATGCACATCGTTTGCCTGAGGTCGTTTTCATGACCTTGAGTGGTCAGAATCACGGTCATAGCCGAGGTACGAGGTCAACCAGGCAAGTCCTCTTTAGTCTCTTGATGACCAAGCTACACAGTCGTACATCATCTCCACATCATGGATATACCTCCACCGTAAACATCACCTTCAGCCTCCATCCACCCAGAACCATGAAATGCTGCAGCCAGTGATGAACGTCACTTTGCACAGAAGTTTTGTGGATACCCAAACTCCTAACGCCTTGTCCCGTGTATGGGAAGCCAATCAGAAACCGTTTAACGAACATCATCGTCAGACTCTGCTGTCCAAGCTGCAGGACACCAAGGACGAAGACAACCGTCCTCCCCAGGGCAGTCCAGATTCTAAACTCAAAGCCTCGACTTGGCCTACACAACGACATCGATTTATTTTAATAATTCATTTTATAAAATGTTAGTCTTTGCATTTTAGAGCTTATTGATCGTACACTCCTATTTTTATTTATTTATGCATTTTACACTATTTGTCTACTTACCCATGCGCTTACACTTTTTTATCTATTTATATAAATATTTTATATTTTAATCTCTGAATGCTGGTCATGCTGCCTCAGTCATGTCTGTTGTTGTGAGTCCTGTTGTGTTTCCATCTGTACAGGACGTTGTTGATGTCTGTGTGTTTACTGCGTGTTCGCTGCGTGTTCGCTGCGTGTTCGCTGCGTGTTCGCTGTGTGTTTATTGCGTGTCATTTCTCTTATGTTGCACGGTGGTTCTGTTTGTGTCCCTTAAGTTGTTGCAGCTACGTTTAGTTCTCCACTTTGCCCCGTGGGAATAAATAAAGGGAAGTGAATTGAACGAGGATCTTAATATGCACCTGAAGGCCCCGTAAAGGCTCCAAAGACCACCCACCCACACACACACACACACACACACACACACTTCCTGTCTGATGTGAGTTACAGCACGATCATCTAATGTGAACTCTGATCAAGAGGGACCAAATATCAAACATCATGTTGTTTATATATATA